CCAATTATCTGTTCAGCATTGTATTAAGTACCTATTGTTAATGTATGTTAAAGTAGCACTTACCTAACGCTTGGGTACCCACTGATTACTGTGTACCTAATACATGTGTTTTAATATCTTTGTACATTGGTTAATGTACTTAGGAAACAGTACAAATAATCAAGTAGCAAGACACTGTACCACACAGTACTAATCGAGGGTCTAACTTTTAATTCACTGTACTAATTACTTATTCCAGCATAACATTGCGCACCTAATATTTCAGTATGTACATGTCCTGTGTATCTAATGATAATGCTTCAAAGGATCGTAGTGTACTCAACATATGAGTACACACGTTATGTACATATGCTACCGTATCCATGCTTTCGCATACACCTTGTAACAAGGCAATGTATTATCCAGTGTCTAACATTAATTAGCTTTAACGCCACTGTATTAAGTACCAAATTTGTATGGATGTTTATGCATTAGTGTATTAGCACAATGAACACGTATGATTATCTAGATAAAGGTGGACGTGGCGCTATACCGATTAACCGTATTGGTAGAGGGGTGGTGCCCACGTCCTCCGTCGCATGTATACTCATTATTTACATGGGGAAAATAGAAACAAGCAGATAAGTAAAACGAAAAATTAAGTAAAACGTAAAATGAAAAAAAAAAAAAAAAAAAAAGTAACAAAATAAAAGGTAATATAAAAAAGTAAAATTAAAAAAATCAGTGTTTAACTATTTCTTAATTAACATGAGAAAAACGAAAGAATTTCTATTTTTTTTAACAGCAAAGCCTATACATAAAATTACTTATTTAGAAATATGTATCTGTTATTCAAGGGCATATTACTTTCATAATAAATTATATTTTATTACAATTAATCTTGAATATAAGATTTTACTGTTGTTCTCAAACTTTTGTTTCTCTTACACTAAAAAAATGTACATATTTTACGAGTTATGTAACAATAACAACTTTATTCAGAGTTATATGTCTATTGATATGTCCTTAAGTGTGGGGAACACATTTATCTTTCAGCTGTTTTAATGAATGTTAAAACTATGAAAGCATAATATTTGGCTTACATTTACTCGCATTTAAACAGCATTGGCATAGATAAAATAAAACATTAATTTCTTCTGTATTACTATAGTCTCGTATAATTGACTTTCAGTTAAACAAATGTATGACAGCATGATTTCTGTTCTTAAAGATGTTATATTAGCATACGAAGAAAAATCAACGAAGAAAAAAGAAAGCCAAATCGCATGACATTTCGAAATAAAGTAGATCCGAGACAAAATAAAACAGAATGTCATTTTCCCTGGCATCCTATATTATACAAACTAAATTCTGACGTATGGCCATACGACACTAACAACAACATTTATCATTTACACGATATTACGATAATAACGTTGTAGAGTTCCTCACTTTGTAATCTAAGTTAATGTTGGAAGTGAAGAATCTTAAGAACTGATAAGCGAATAATCGCTTAAGTGCGGGTGACAAGAAACAACAAGATAGAAGGGTAACTAACCCTTTATTATTTAATAAGATTTAACAAAACTCCACCTGGGAGTGTACAAACAAAGCCCTTATGCTTGAACTTAACAGACTAAGAAATAAACTAAAACTAAAATTAACTAAAGAAACATAGCCGAAGCTATCAAGATTCAAAAATCGAGTTGGTCCCTTAACTTATTTGACTTCGAAGCTTAGCAAGGGCCTGAGTACGGCCGAGCGTAATAACAGCTTTGAGAGAGAGATTGGCCAAAAAGGCAGACGCGTGTGAATCAGAAACTCTGATTCTCTCTGACTCTGTAAGTGACTTCGAGGTTTAAATATCGTGGTTTCTTCTCATTAAATATTCAGCAAGATTCCAAAACTACGTTCTGGCCAGAAGTAGTAAGTTGAAGTTAAGAATTTGACAGGAAAGGAACTTCTAACTTAAAATTTAACTGTTAATAAAATTAACATAATCCTTACAACGCAATAAATAATGCAGTTCATTCTCGAAAGAATAACATAACTATTTTCTAATGAATCTAATATGACATTTCTAATGAATCAATCACTACTACAGTACAGATCTACTACAAGTAACTATCATCACTACTTAATTACTATAGAAGACTATGACGTCTGAATCACAACAGAAGTAATATCACCAATGAAGATGAAGAGGTCTAATTTTTGTTTTGTTGAATGACTTTACGACGACTTGTTGTTCAAGGATAGGAGATACTTTGCCGCTCCTCTCTGGGGGGGGGCGGTAAAGATATTCTGGGTTTAGAAAATCCCGATCTAGCGAATCTGTGTTCCCTGATGTAGCGTATTTAATCTTTGAAGATGTTGTTAGAATTAATTATTTGCCTAATCACTAAGTACTTCAAATGCCAGTAATCTGATTCCATGTAACATCTGTCTTGTTGTGGACTAATGCTCACTTGTCTGACTGTATAGTCAGCCCAAGCCCACCAAATTCCTCTCGGCAAGAAACGCAAAATAACACTTGTCGTTGGCAATGCGATTTACCTCAGTTCTGCCCCCTGTTTTGATGGAGAATACCCCGAGGGGGGACGGGTCCAAGGGCCTCCCACCCGTCTTCCCTAATACCAACCTCTCGAGAGGATTTTCGGCTTGTCGAATATTTAGAATACCCCAATGCCGCACGGACACTATGCATTTACAAAAATCAGTGCCTTCTCCGGGATTCGAACCCGGAACCTTCGCCACGGCAATCAGCGTACGCTAACCACTATACCAGCTGGGCGGCTTACGCAGAAATGAGGTGCATGTAAAAATAAAGTTATTTAAGCTTCTAGTGTTAGAAAATGTAACTGTGTAAATCTGGGGAAAGAATTTACTGTTTAGAATAATTCTAATAAAGCCTTTCGGTGAATCTTCGGTTTATGGTAACTTGGCGATTTTTTGGCGAAAATTTGGCGACCAACCCTGCTACAGCAACCTGTTAGTTTTTTTTTTTTTGGACGCCATTTTGTTTTTACAAAGTAAATGCATTTTTTTTTTTTTTTTTTAACTCAACATTTTTTTCCAACAATCTGCTAGCCGAATTACGCTTATGCTGGAACTTTTATGGAACAAAAATGCTTAATCATGACGAAGATTAGGTGCGAAATTGGGAGAAAGTGCAGAATCGTCCACTGCTTCGCGCGTTTATAAGAATTGAACATACTCGGTATCCATGTACACGTCGACCTATTTTCACTTAAAAAAAACATCCCAGAATTGCACAAAAATGGCATTGCGCACACTCTTGATTTTATCCATGTACACACGACCTATTTTCACTTAAAAAGTCAAAGAAAACGGACAAAAATCCAATTCTTCTTACTCTTGTAAAAAGCGCCAAACAAATAAGTGGACGATTCTGCACTTTAGCAGCGAAATTGTTTCTAAGTGCTTATTAGCTAAAATCACGATCGGAATTTTCCGGAAAATGTCACATGACATGTCTCATGATCTCTCATTTCTCTCAAACAAAATAATCTGTGATTGGAACTGTGTACTTCTCAGATTATCGCTAAAGTCCTACCTAGTAACATTTATCGCCTTACCAAAATATCGCCAAACTACCTGTTACCATATTCCAAAGATTAGCCAGCCTTTCTTATGCCAAAATCACTGTCAGTAATTTGGGGTTGTTCCCTCAGATAGCATCCAGATCAAAAACCGCAGAAGCCTTAATTGTCATCATCTGAAGGGTCATTACTACGCATAAGCAACCACCCACCGATTAAAAGAACAGTTCCCACCGCCCCATCAACTTAATTAGGGGTCGCTCCGCTGCCTGTCGCCCCTCTGCCCTTTTTTTTACACCCCTGTGGGGTTGATTTAAAAGATGGTTTCCTCCCTCAATTCAAAAGTCTCCTTCCGTTCGTTTGTTTGTTTGTAGTAGTTGTCTTTACCGATGTTTGTGGCAGAGTTAATTATTGCGCGGTTCCTTTCTTTTGTGATGACTAAAGATAAAAGGAAATAAAAGAAAACTTCGCAGCAGGTGGGGGGAACGGTATTGTGGTGATTTGAAATGTTACTTCGTTGACCGACAGTGTAGTTAAACGTTAAGCTTTCCGTTAAGCCATTCGCTTTCATTTTTTGATAATATACACTCCTACAGTTGTCAACATCATGTGTATAAATAAATTCGTAATATCATATTCCTATATTAATGTTTGGCAGCACAGAATACAGGCAATTCAAACAAATATTTGATACAGTATTTTAACTATTTATCTATTCCATTACTATCTAGTTTGAGGTAAACTACTATAATTGATATGAGAAAAACATTTCCAACACTGTTTCTATATGTATATGCGTGATAAAAAGTATTAGCAATAGCCCCTTAAGGGTACTCGAAAACCCCCTATACCGATAATGTTAAATTGCCCATTTTCGATGTACCGTTTCTCAAAATCTGCTGTAGATACAAGCTTGAAATTGTGTAATTAAAGTACACCTACCTCATTATACTGAAATGAGCTTTTGAAACATTTTCAATTTTAGAGTAATTTATAGAATATTGTATTAGGCATAGAACAATTTAACAATTTTCTCACCCCCCCCCAAAAAAAGTGAAAATTTCTTTTCTTAGTTACAAAAGCTCATTTCAGTAAATATTAGGAAACATAATAAATAAGCCATAAATATTTTACATACTTGTGAGCAGTAGTCCTGAGAAAAGGTGCACTGGGTATAAAAAATCACGTTTGGAGAAAACGCGTTTTAATGTAATAGTCATCATATATCAAAGCATTCGAGGATAAATTAAAACTTTTTTTTACAGTTATAATTTTCATAGAGATTAAAGTATGGTATTTTTAGAAAGCTAAAAGTGTAGAGAATTTGAAAATGGAAAAATTCACCATTTTATGAAGATTTTTGGGTTTTGACACCCCTTAATTCCTCTTTTTAATCTCAGTATTTCTACTCTTTATCCTGAAAATAGTAATAACTTTTTCTAATTATGGCACCCATAGCGATGCGTAAATCAAAGATATGACAATTTGGATTTGGATGATTACGATGACAAAAATGATGCTGATACCAATCATGGAGCTCATGACGATGATGTTGATGAAGATGGTGATGACGCAGACGACGACATGGATCAAGATCATGATATTGATTATGACGACAATCATAACGCTAACGTTGCTGATGATGATGATGGCGCTCATGAATGATGATGAAGATCTCATGATGAAGATGGTGTTAATGATGTTGATCAAGATGACGTTGCTGTTGTTGATGGTGATCATGTCAATGAAGATTATGTTGATGACAACGAAGATGATGATGTCACTCATGAAGATAATGATGATGATGATGTCGATAATGATCTAAACGTGCAGAATAATGAAGAAACTGCGAAAAATAAACTGAATCAGTTTGAACAAGCATGTGCTGATCCAGCAAACGAGAAAACACCTGCTAAAAGTGCAGAAACTCCCAAAGAACAGAACGCCTGGAAGTATAAACGAAGAAAATTTACACGAACTTATTAACAGGATTAAAACAGAGGAATGCAGTGACATTTTAAAGGTATTTAATAATGAAAGAATAAGCATGATTATGGTATGTACAGAGTGAAAGGAAGTAAGATAAAAAGTCCTATTCATCATGAAACGGAATTACATCATCAAGCAATGTTTTCGAGCGAAATAGTTCAGCTCCATCCATCGCCACGTCATATCCTCATCGGAATGGAAGTCTGTCCATTTCCTCACGCAGCTTGAAGAAGTATCTCGCTGCTGTAGCTGTTGCCAGATTTAGGAAAAGGCGGTTGAGTTGTAGGAGCGAACGTCCACATATATATAATAGGAAATTATTCTACAAGAACCGCTCAGATGAGGCTGTGTTTAGCGACTCAGACGCCGTACTGAAGCGCCAGAGTTCGAATCCTGGAGAAGGCATGAATGTAATTTGTCCGTCCCTTCATCAGAAAGAATAATATTTGACCTACATTTACTACTCGCATTTAAACAGCCTTAACATAGATAAAGTAAAAACATTAATTTTTCATGTATTATTTTAGTTCCATATAATTGAGTTTCACTTAAACGAATGTATGAGAACACAATCTCTGTTTTAAAGATGTATTATATTAGCATAGGTACTACCTCACAACTGTAAGACATCTTTACATACAAGAAGAACTAAATCGCCAAGGAAGAAAAAGAAATCCAAATCGCACGACATTTTGAAATAAGGAAGATTCGAGACAAAATAAAACAGAATGTCGTTTTCCCTGGTATCCCATTATACAAACTAAATTCTAACGTATGGTCATATAGCACTAACAATGGCATTCATCATTTACAGGGAAGGCGGCACCACGGTAATAACGCAATAAATAACGCGATTGCGATGCCTTGCTAAACAATGAAAAGATAATAATGATTTTTTTTTCTTTTCCCTCTTCGTTTAATTAAAAGGCGAAGCATCGCGCGTGTTGCACAATCTGTGTCTCGTGTTTACCACAACAATAACAGTCACGACAACAGGACTGGGACACAAATCTTATGACTTCGATCTTGACGTCGGCCATGATAATCTTAGCACATAAATTCTGTTATGCTATCTAGAGTTTATATATGTTACTGTGAAAGATCGAAATTGGAGAATGTCGACTTTCGCCGGAGAATGTCAGCATTCACCAAATACGTCGGTGAAAGATCGAATATTGCGTTACATTCTTGTACATTCGGACCCTCGCCGGTGCATGTCGACAATCACAGATATGCTTTAGTGTAGGTCGAAAAGAGAGGAGTATATGTGCACACGCTGTCATTGCAAAAGGGAGTGGTCCACAAATAAATGCAGTTGTAAAAAGCAAGGGTCTCTTGTGCAATTCAAAGTGTCATAATAGTTTAAGTTGTTGCAATAAATAAGATTTGAATCACGTAATTTAGTAAGTTTTTAACTTCTATTATTTTCCTTTCTCATTTTGAATGTACTATGTGTTTTTAAGCTCTTATTTTGAGTCTCAAGTGCGTTTTTTCGCGAATGAATGACGGAGAAGAAAATATAATATTCTTATGTGTTCAACATTCACCATTAGCACATGGTGAATGTCGACATTGACCGGTGTAAGTCAGAAATAAGAGCATCTGGAAAATATTTCGGACATACACCAAGCGACTATGTCAATGTTGACATTCACCGGTGAAAGTCGACAGTCTCCAGATTTCGGTGTTTCACCGTAACATATGTTTGTTAACGATTAAAAAGAGGAGCAATTGAGAATAAGAAAGCGAAGGTTCGAAAAAGAAGTTGGAGTTTTATATCTGGAAATATGAACAGACCTCTTGTAAAAGCAAACAAGTATTATAATTCTTTTTCAAGTTATGTGTTCTTAAAGCGAAAAGAACTCGAAAAATATCGGCTGCAGAAAGTTATATTACCCGAATTCTCGTGTAAATATTCGTGTTCCGAATGTCCAAATGTTCATATAAATAAATTCATTTGTCATAATTCTGGCTAAAATAATATGCCATATCCATTTTACGTCCCTTTTAGAATATTAGTCTCGAAACGTCATTTTGCGTTGAATTAATATAATGACGTATCACGTTTCAAATTGTTGCTGCCAAATATTATTGCCGTGCATTATATTTAAAGAAATTAAATTAAATAATGAAGAATTTTCGTGAATGTATGGATATTTCTCAGAATGGGAAAAAACAACGGTACCTAGAGCATCAAATTTTGAATAACATAGTTCTCCACACGAACATGGGCACCAGGAAGCCCGAATTTTGAATTTCGAATCTGTTTTATTATCTATTTCATATTTTATAAAACTTTTAACGAATTTTAGATAAAAAAAAAATTCAACGATTTAAAAGGGATCAATGACAGCACTGTATATAAAAAAAAACTCTGATGCCACACATTGTATAATGGTCAATATTCTGTTCAGAAATATGACTGTTATGTTTTTACAGTATGTATAAATCATCCTACAGATTACATTCCTGATGATTTCCCGTGGAACAGGACACTTTCTATCTGTGTGCAGCGTGATGGGTTTAATGGAAGAATTTACACTGGAGTGCTCTTGTAACGAAAAACCAAGAACTTTAAATGTTTGCCGAATGTAGAATCTTTTCATTCGCAGACAGGCAATATTTTTCTGCCCAACCGAAGCTTACGGTCAATTTCTGTTAAAATCTATTGGAATATTTTTCGAGTGGCTGCCTTCATTATCCAACATTAGTATTTTTAAACTAAAAATATTCATAAATATTAACACTATTTTGAAGATTTTCAGGTTTTAAAATATCCTAACCAAAGTAGAGACGCATAATACTTCAATAACCTTTACAAATTTACAGCACTTTTACAGATTTGCACAGATTTTTGAAACATTACGTTATAAGGTATTTCTCCCACTTTCCTAGCGTGCCTCCGTGGTGTAGTGGTTCTGCACACTAGGCCGGTATTTCCAGAGGTCTGTGGTTCGATTCCCGACGAAGGCGTTTGCTATTTTTTTCATCTTGTCTGCTTCCAAAAGATCCTAATGTCTGTACAGTGGCGCCCGAACTAAAAGGGTTGTGGATGATGACGCTCCACACCCAGGATTTGGCGATTGGGTCCCCTAAAAACCCCAGTCGCCCTTTAAAAAGGGGAGTATATAAGATATTTCTCCCGCTTTCCTAGCGTGCCTTCGTGGTAGTGGTCAGCACACCGAGCCGGTATTTCAGAGGTCCGTGGTTCGATTCCCGGCGAAGGCGGTTGCTAACTTTTCATCTCTCCGGCTTTTCCTATGAACCTAATGTCTCTACAACGTCATTACGTTCAATAATGAAATTTAAAATATATATATTTTCATGTTAAAAAGTGCCTCCCAGGCGGTATACTGGTTAGAGAAGCCGACTGCGATACCAAAGGGCCTGGGTTCGAATCCCGAAGAAGGCATACTTGTAACTGTCCGTCCCTTCATAGGAGGCAAAGGTGGCCCACCTATTAGGTGCTTCCATAATAAAGTGACCTCAACTTCTGGTCTTAGTAGTGGCCAAGCCGAAGTCATTGGTAACCCCCCCCCCCAAAAAAAAATCAAAGTATTCATTTAAGATCTTAATGCCTTTAAATTATCTTTCTCTGTTACATAGAGACATACTCGTGCTAATTGTTACTTACGTTCAAAATTGTAGAGCTGCATAACAAAATAACTTTTGAAGAAAAGATTTCGTAGCAAACTAACATTTCATAACAACTTCCACATAGTTTAAGAGATTATTCTGTACAAAAATATAATCATGGGAGTTTTTACTTACATTTAGACCCATGAATGGCCGAGTGGTTAAGACCACTGGTAAGTACACCCGAGTTCGAACCCTGGCCACTGGGCTTGGATGTGGGTATATTTCGTGATTTCTTCAATGTGTAACGTGAATGTGAGCTAGTTTCCCTTATAAAGTCTTCCACGAAGGCATATCTTCAATTAGGTATGCTTTGGCTTATTCAAATGAGCTATCTTAACCTACTTTCAAACTTACACTCGAGTAAATAACAGCAAGAAGCAGTCAAATTATAACGTTTTCGATGAAGAGACCAATTCGCTTAATACAAGGTAACAACTCTTGGGATCATGCTACGCTGCAACACACTCTTAGAGTAATACTTCCGATTTAGCTTTCCTGTTGAAGGACAATATGCGTTAGCTTTATAAAATATCTGATGTGTACACCACATGACTTCCTTGTACGGAATATTAATTTTTTTCTTGAATTTTTTCCTTGAATTTCATTTAAATTGATTGGATTGAATTAAATCTACTTCGTCGACAGCGCATAAACCACAATAGAATAAATGCACTCTTTAAAATTCACTATATTTGTTTACTGTAACGACACTCTGAATGCACAGAATTTATATCATTTGAAGAATTATCTTATCGTTGCCATATGTTCTATTCAAATACTATAATAAAGCTATAACGATGTATGAAAGAAATTAAGCAAACAAAACAGAAAAGAAACAGTTTTTCACAGACGATTAAGTATTTCTCATTCAATTAATTCAGTTCTCACTTCGCGACGAGGCAAAAATACATAAAAACACAAAATATCTGTATTAAAAATTACGAAGTAAATCTTAAACACTTATATCCTCGAAAAAATTCCAGAAAGGATTAAGCATGATTTAATTCGCAATAATAAATGAAGGCGTTATTTTTCTTGTTGCGAAAGCTTACTTAGTCTTTCTAGATTGGCAACAAATCTACAATTCTGCTGTTTCAAATGTAAACAAATATGTCCGCTATGTTATTTAAAAAAGTTAGGCTTAGCCGCACTTAAACAAGCTTTTAAATTGTTGATAATTCCGTACAAATATTGCTTCCAAAGCAGGTTACGAAAGGCATAAAAATCTTAACCGGAAAGATAAGAACAACATAATTCAATCATTTTTAAAGCAAAAATTGTACAATTTACAAACATATAAGAGTAAAGAAACTGAGATCACTGT